AAAAAGTAAACGTTATTTTCTTTTCTTTTTTNTTTTTTTTTTTTTTATTTTATTTTTTGAAAACGTACCGTAATATTATAATAACGATGGTTCTAGTTGTGATATTTTATTAATTATAAGATCCAACATTTTCGATGCACGATGTTATTTTGGTCGGGCTTTTAGATAGGCCAACGTGCATGACGCGTTATATATATATAAAACATATAAAAAAAAAAATAGTATAGTGTTTGTCGTTAACAATCGAGAAGGTTATACGTTATATCATACGATTGTCACCTTCGATAGGATGGTGATACTGGCGTTACCTTAGCTGCTCATCGTCCAACTTGTTCTGAATTCTTTGATGTTTCTTCTTTTTGGGCTTATCTTTTTTTTTTTTTTATCTTTTTCTTTCCTCTCGCGAATTTTTTACTTCGAGTGACATAGATAGATTAGACGATGTTTGTGATAGATTTTTACTTCCATACTTTTTACCACCTTAGAGGGAAAATTGTGCTAAAAAAAGATAAAAAGGTACGATATTTTCTAGGCTAGATGGTGACGCTGCTTCACACATTGTTGGGCGCAAGCGTAACAGTTTTGCCTCTTCCTTTCGGGTGACACGATGATACATAATATGATACACTCAAGAAGAAAGAAAACAAGGAACACATGTACAAAAATACACCTACATACACGGATTATAAACGCGCGCGTTCACACGCGTACGTGCACATACATGTATACACTCGAAGCTATAGAGATATAATATTATTTTAATCATTTTTAAATTTGTACATATATTTCTTATCGCATCAGGGCAGAAGGGAGCGGAGTGATTTCTTAGTGTCTAGGTGTAGTGCCTAAAATGTTAATGAGATTGTGTCCAATAGAAAATTTATTTAGTGTGTGGAATCTCTTAATCTGCTCGATCCCGGGTGCTCGTGCGTGGAACTTTGGAACTCGAAATTTCTCGTTCGACTCTAGAAAGAGAAGAAAAGTAATGATCGATAGGGGGGAGGAGGGAGAGGGAGGGGGGGGGAGATAGAACATTTTTCGAAAAGTTGACGGATCAGTTTCTGTGCACGAGTATTCGGTGTCGTAAAATAATGTTCGACGAACGAGGTTAGAACACTTTAGTTAAATAACGGATTCAACTCTCGTTGAAATGGCCAGAAAATAAAAAAAAAAAAAGAAAAAGAAAAAAACACGAAAGGATGAATAAAAGAGAAAGAAAGAAAGAAAAAAAGAAGGGAAATCCACAGATAAAATTACGTTTTTTTGTGGACTTAGAATTTAATGTTCATCGCGTTGTATGGATAGTTCGTATAAAATTATATATATATATATATATATATATATATATATATATGTATTATATATATATATATATATATATATAATTTTATAATTATATATATATATATTATATATTATCACTGTAAAACAAAGTAACTGATTTTTTGCGAGGAATAGATAGCGTAGTTATTACAAATATAGGAGAGAATAACATATTTTTGGAGTTACTACTAGAGGATTGATATTGTATTGTGCTCTGTGAATTATTCTTAAACGTCTGTCTTCTTACGTTCTTGGTCTTTAATCGTCGGATTGCTCATCACGATCGGACCACATTTACATTTAGAAACGAATAATGAAAAAAAAAAAAAAACGAAAAAAAAAGACAGAGAGAAAGAAAGAAAAACATCCAAGCGGCGTATATGTGTATGTACATATATGATACTTGTTCTAAATTTCGGTTGGTCGCGCGGACTCGTCAACTAGAATTTTTCTCACGATCCCACACGCACGAATTCTTTGTTCGGTTTACGTGCGCGCGCGTAGATATATATATATATATATACCGTGCAAAGAGAAATTACAATAGTATCCGTAGTTTTAATTCGTATCTTGAGACTTTTCTGAAACGATTCGAAATTTTGAATTGAGACGAACCGCGAAAATAAGACGTTTCCTCTTTTGTTGATTTTTTTTCTTTTTCTCTTCTCTTCTTTTCTCTTTTTCTTTTTTTTTTTTTTTTTTTTTAAATCTCTTTCGTTTCCTTTCTTCTGCTCCGTATCGTAACGACACGAGTAAATGAAGTCCGATTAGAGAAGCAAGAAGTAAATGATAGAACGTGCGGGTAAAAATTAGGCTTAGAATCGACGATTCACATCTGACTGTTCTTCGATGTTTCTTAATGTTCACTATTATACTATGGTAATATTGCAAATAATATTAACTTGTAGTACTTGTATTATACGTTTGTCAACAATTATGCATAATGTTATACGAATAAGGGCTAATCTATTAATTAGTTTTTAACGAAGATGGGGAGTGGGGACGGGAGGGGAGGGGAGGGGGGGAAGAGGGGAAGAACACTCGTGTAAACACATCACTGCTGCTTAGACATTGTTATATTGTTATAATACGATTTTTCTCGTCTTTAATGGGTGACGGAATTAGGATCGATAATTAGAGACTTACGCCTTGGCATAGTTTGATAGATCTTCGCTGTGGAAGAATGTAGAAATTTTGGTGTTTCGATATTCGTACGATTTATAGAATATAGAATTTTTCTCTCTTCTATTTTTCTAGTTTTCTTTTTTTAATAACACGTTTCCTTCTTTTCAACGTTCGATTTCAACGAAACACGCGTTCCCATTGTTTTCGTTTCGTGCCACGTGGAAGAAACTACGTTCTAGTTTGGGCATTACTTTTTTTATTTACCAGATCGGTATTTTCACAAAGGAAGAAACTATTTTCAAGCGGGCAAACTTTTTTTCGTATAGATAGTTTCAAAGGTATTTGCTGTTTATTCTTCAAAGGATTCTCCTTGGTTCGCTCGAAGTCTCGGGATTCCTTCCACGAGACTTTTCGATCGTACGAAAATCTGATTTCTACGAGTTTCTTTCCTCAACTTCGAAATAATGAAAGTTAAAACTCAAACTAGAGATGAGATTCGGTGAGGAAAGGAAAAAAAAGGAAAAGCAAAAGAAGAAAAAATAAATAACGGTTCGTAACGAAGTCGTAAAACAGGTCTATCTACTAAACTTCTTTAAAACTTTAGAACTTTATACAATCGTACGAATAAGACGAATTCGCTGTTAAAGATAAACCTATTCGCTATATGGCTATATTATATATTTGTACCGCCTATGAATGTTCGCCTTTTGTGTATTTTAATTATACTATGATAGCAGTAGCACTATTTGTAACTATTATTATTGGATAACGGATTTAACATCGTTGTGATTACAAATTATTGTGTTGTTTCTATTCGTGTCGTATGGGCTGATACACACTTTGTTGTATCTTTTAATTATAATCTTTTAATCAATCCAAATTGATCGTAAGATATCTTGGAAAAATAAGATATATATATATATATACATATATGGTATATATCTTTTCATCTTCCACGACGACAGTGAGTTTAGTATCTTTTCGTTCTCTGATCGTAATTTTCTCTTCCACTTGTTCGAAAGAAGCCGGGCTTGTTCGGAAAGGTGACAAAAAAAAAAAACAAATTTTTTTTTCAAAAATTCTCCAACTTTTCAGTCGATTTTTCACTCGTCTTTTCCATTTCTTCTTGTTTAATCCTTTCTACGCGAAGAATTTTCATAGCATTGCCTTATCGCGGTAACATTATCATCGATACATGTATAATAGTTACACGTACACATACACACACACGCACACATACATACACATACACACACACATTGAGAGGATAAGTCCTTCGTGCCGTCGATTAATATTGACATTGTTTGCCAAACTTCTTTATCCTATACGTAACGAATACAACTGTATAAATGTGTAAATTATCGTTACCACGTGTTACCGAATTTATCGAATGTTTTGAACAAGATTCGATCGTTTCTTCGATTTCTTCTTGGGTCGAAAAATGAAGTCGAATAATTGATTGGCGGTGTCGAGTAAGATTTCAAAAAAAAAAAAAAAAAAGAAAAATTCGAAAAGGAACGAACGTTAAACTCGATGGATTCGGATGAACACGTGGATCATACTTCGTACGATCGTGCATCCGGCAACATAGCATAAACCCCGATCGATCGCTTTCGTGGCGAGTGTAAAGTGAAGTTTCTAAATGGCGGTGTATTTAGAATAGCGTAGCGAATAACGAACGGAGAAATAAAAAGGAGAAAAGGCGGGGAGGGGAGGGGAGGGGACAGTGAGAGTGAGGGGGAGGGGGGCGAGAGTGGAACACACAACGGAGAAAGGAAAAGGAGAAGAGAAAGAAAAAGTTTTTTTTAAGCTTTCGCCAGGAAGTCTGTCTTAAAGTATTAAAACTCTCAGGCTGCGCCGATTGTCTTTGCCGCGTGCGTAATGGCGGCCGCACGGTCGCCGAATCGAGTCGAAACGAGAAATATGGTGTACAACCGATATCCGAGCATCCGAGACGGTATTTTTCTGTTTCTATTCGCTTTCCATTTTGCGCGACTTCCTTCTGTAGAGTTTTAGAACACGGAAGAGAGCGCCGGAACAACGCGATATCGATAGGAGGGAAGAAACGGTTTAGAAATCGATCAACGGTTTTTCTCTTCGCGCGTTTGCTTCAACGAACGTTCGAATCAGCTTAAAAAACGCATGGCCTGTAAATTCGGTGTGTCGAAACTAGCGAGCGCAAGCACTCGTGCTACTCGTCGACTCGTCAAATTTGTTTAATAGTAGAGCGTGCCTTATATCGACGATCCATGCAGAGAAAACAATATCTTCTAGAGTTTCGTTTTTTTTTCGTACCGGACTAATTATTTTCCGTTAACTTGAAATTCGATTCGCCTCGCGTTTTTATGCTCGGTTGTTTCGTTGAACACCGTTTCTCTCTTTACGTATATATATATATGAATACACATCATATATAAAAATTGTATAATAGAAGGCAAAGAGAAATTGAGATATCCACTGCTTGCGCGTGCGATGAATTATTTCAGAGGTCGACCAGAGTACAAAGCATAGGTTTAGTTTGGTCTCGGAAATAGTTTGTGCACGAATACGGAACTATACGAGTTCTCGAATCCGAATGTTGTCGTCGTCGTCGTTGTCGTCGTCGTCATCGTCGTCGTCGTCGTCGTCGTCGTCGAATATTAGAAAAACTGTTGGAAAAAAATTGGTAATAATAATAAAAGTTTCGAGAGAAAGGAATTGTTATATAGACTAGCGTACGAACGAGAAAGAAAGAAAGAAAGAAAGGGAAAGAAAAACAAAAAAACAGAGAAAGAAGATGGAGAAGAAAGAGTAGAAAAAACAGTGCGAGAAAGAACCGCTGCGTTACGGTTCACGGCGTTGGGTCGACCGACCGCGACGAGTCCTGTTCTTTGTCTTCACTTTAATATGTCCGACAATAAACGCTTCGTTGGGGAGAACGGAGAGATGGGAAAACGAATGACAATTATAAATCAATCAGCAGACAAATCAAAAAGTATTTAGGCTTTAAATTGTACGGTGAATCAAACGATTCTCGAAAATTATTCTTCGTCACTGTCGACCGACACGACGTTTCGATACTGTAATGATGAGTTAGATGGAACATTATAATATCGTCTAGTAGATAATCGAAAAATTCTAATCTCATCTCGGTGTGGCTCGTCACCATCGGAATCTACTATAGATAATTGCACGTGGTAAAATCTCGTCTCGATTAGAGGAGGAAAAACAACGATCGACTATCGACTGAATATTTTTCTCCGTTAATAATAATAATAATAATAATAATAATAATAATAATAATAATAATAAAAGTAAAAATAATAATAATATTAATAATAATAATAATAATAATAATAAAATTCGTTTTTTAGATTTTATCGAAATTTTGGTGGTGACGAGCTCCGCTTCGTACTTTTCGACAACAGGGGTTTTGACTAATCGGTGACGACTTACTTAACGAACGTTTCTCAATTTTTAAGTCGCGCATCGGCATTTAGGTGCATACATCCTGGGGGCAAAAAGTCTATTTGATATTTATATTTTAATATACACGGGCCGATTATATTTAGTGTATTGTAATTATTGAATATTAATTGAAAGCCCCGGGGACTGCTCGTCCAGCGACAAATTATTAAAATCGACACGATCGCGAACTAATGGGGGATGGAAATTGATTCGATGGACGAGCAGGCCTATCGGGACAAGAACCACGATTTTCTGTATATTACTGTAGTATAATAATCAAACACTAAAGACTAATGCTTAAGGTGATCGATGAGAGCTTCGATGCTCTTTGAAGCCGACGTAAAAAAAAAAAAAAAATGTAATCAAGGAAATAAGCTATGCAACTTGAACAATTGATAAGTAGCAAAAAAAATAAAAAAAGAAAAAAACAAGAAGAAAAAGAAGAAACGAATAAACGAAAAGAAACATTTAAAATAATAATAATAATAACAACAACAACAACAACAACAATAAAAAATGCAAAAAGTATGATAAAAACGACAGAGAAGAAAGAGAAAAGTTCACTCAAGCATCACTATGTTCTAAATAGTTAATAAATGCAGATGTCCGTGTATTCAGGCTCGGACACTTTTTCAACTGAATTCTCGCTGTCTTTTTACGGCTCTATTCTTTTCAAACGTTGTCTCCCTTTTTTTCTCTCTTTTACGCTACGGCCGCGAATCCTTATTCCAATCATCATCCGATCGACAAGTTTGTTTTATCCTTCTCATCGATAAGAAACGACAGAGATAAACTGCACGTCCACACGCTTGAAAGGAAGTCGTGTGAATCGGAAAAGGAAAGAAGTATCGGGCATCGCTATTACCGGTTCCACTTCCCGCGTTTTTTCAGTTCTTTCTCTCACAATATCTCGAATATACTCTTGTGTCTATATACTCTCTCTCTCTCTTGTGTACAACGGGAAGAGATCGCGATCTCGTCGTGCCGATTGAAAAAAAAAAAATTAAGCAAGAGGTCGTTGAACAATCTGAGACAATTTGAACGATCGAGTAGCAAACTCGTGGGCTCAAAGAGGAAAGAAAAAGAAACAAACGGACAACAAACGCATCGCCAAGCGAACATTCCCCAAGTACCAGGCAATTCCGGAAAGAAGCTTTCGAAAAGAGAAGAGAAAAAGGAAAAAATTATAGTTCACTACTTCGTGTGTAATTTATGTACCTGTTATCACTTAAGCACGCAATCAAACGAACCGTTCGATCGGAATAAAAAGGAACGAAAAGGAAAAAAAAAAAAAAAAAATTAACGATACAACATTTGATGAAAAAGAAAAAAAAAAAAAACGAAAAAA